ATTTGTTAAATATTGTTGCATCGTCTTTCCACCAAATAACAGAAAATTATCGATAGTGGTATCGATAAAGACTCGGATCGATAAGGAGCATCGATAAAAGTATCGATATCAATAAATATTAACGATCCCCATCCCTAGTTTTAACCTGACTATACAAGACATAATAGATTTTCCTAACAATCACCATATACCGAACCGAACCGAAAATCGTGACCACGAAACCGTGAAACGAACCGAACCGTGGATTTTGTGAACCGTCCCACCCCTAACATATATACAAAATTCCACACACAATATAAATATATATTATGTATTTATATTATGTTTTATATATAAATATTATATCATGTTTTATATATATGTATATATATATATATGTACACATATATTTGTGTGGAATACACAACATTCCACACAAAATCTAAATGTATATATGCAGATCTAAAGTAAGTGATAATAATAGTGTGAGAAGAATAAATAAATACCAATAAATTAGTCAGAATTTACAGAGGGGGGGTGTCTGTCTCTGTGAGGTTGTAGAAATATCCCGTCAGGAGAATAAGGAGCTAATGTGAGGCAGGGAGGTCAAAGGTCACAGAGAAAAGCAGGATCCTGGTACAGAAAGGCAGAAACTCACCGTCCTCCATCAGAACAGGAAACCAGGAGGTTAAAACATTTGATTTAACGAAAGTAAACGACTCCATCTGAGGTCAGAACGACTCCACATTCTTAAGCATATTTATGACGACTGTTAAAGCTATTTATTCAGATCTTATTAGGACTAAATATGCTGAACAGCCAGTTACAGCTAGCATCCCTCCTCTGTGAGCTCTCTCACTGTGTGGGGTGATGTGTTTTGGGGGGGGGGGGGGGGGGGGGGGTAGTCAGGGTGAATTACACCCCCCATAAAGCTGTAATAGGAAGGACAATCAGCAGCTTGTATCTGTGCAGCCTTGCAGAGTATTTACCTTTTTATGTGCGAGTAAATTTGATATGAAGTGCCAAGGACAAGCCTCCAAGCAGAGCCCCC